CATTTTTTTGGGACGTTTTTTAAGGAAATTAAAAAAAACATGAATATTGTGATATTCTTGTTTAGTTTTGTACTATATAATATAGTTCATTAGAAGCAAATTATGTTCTATTTATAGAATAAAAAATCACTCATAATATCTAAATATTTATACATATTTATATTTTGGACAAGAAGACTATTTTATGTTTTTGACTCTGAATAGTTTTCTTAAGAATTTTAAAATCTTCCTCAGCTCTTTTGGGATATTCCATGCATATCTTAGAATTAAAGTTGAAGGTAGTAGCCATGTGTGAGTTATATGTTCAAAAAAGAGGTAAATAAAACAAGGGTGGTCCTTAAGATCTCACAAGAGTAATTTAATACGACCGGTTTCGAGGAGATCAGATCCTCATCATCAGGTATGGTCTAAAATAGAGAGGTAAAAACGAATGAGCTCATAACTAATAAAGTGGGTTTAAAAATTATGAAAGTTGTCAAATATCAAGAACTCACCCGTATTACTCATCTATTTAAGACTAAGCTTAGAGATTATCACAGGGTCGGTGTGAAAAAACAAGTATGCGAGTATTTTTTAGGAAATGCATAAAAACAGTAGTTGCAACATAAAGTTGATGTCAAAACACAAGTAGGTCTAAAACTATTAATTAAAATTATTAAATATTTCACGAACGGACAGACATTAAGACAAAACAAATTTAAAACTTTTTTAAACCCTACAAGAACTAAAATGGGTTCTTAGACAACATGAAGTGTTTATAATTCTGAAGGTATAAATTTTTTTATTTTAGATTAAAGATACTAATTAACGCCCTCTAGATATAAATAGACGAATTAACAATTTTAATATTTAAGAAAAATAGTTTAGAGGTTGTCAAATTTAAATATTTTGACATCGGCTAATTTATTTATTTATTTATTTATTTATTTATTTATTTAATACATCCAACAGGCTTTATCAGCCCAATTACAGGAGTATATAATATAATATTTAAAAATACAAAGTTTGAGAATACTTACTTAACTAAATTACATTCTAATTACCTAATTTGATACCAATCTGTAACATTGCTCTCTAAATTGGTAAAATTTTAGAAAAAATATATCAACAGAATACTGATTAACACTTCTACACATTGTCGTTAAAGGACTGTGAAAGTGATGTTGTGAATTTGGCACTTGAATATGAAATGTTATATTTGACCTTGATGTAATACGTGGGATATGAAAATTAAATTGAGATAGCAGAGAAGATGAATCTATAGAATTATTAATTAATTTATAGATGGCGTTGGCGAAATAAATGTTTCTTAATTAATAATATAGGTTTTAAAATGAATTATTTGAATTTGTATGTAATAATATCTTAGAAGTTCATTTTGTTTAAACCTAAAACAAATTAAGTACAAAAAATGAAAATTTAAACAATACACAAAATTAGTCTTTTAGATTAGTTAAAAAAAAGTGTCAACAAAAAAATGGCTATGCCTTTTTCCTTAAACATTCTTTTTGAAAGAAACTTAAGTTTCTCTACTTACTTGCTGTTTTAGTATTTTAGTAGCAGATGAATATAGTGTAGAAGTAGTGACAGGATAATTATACTTCTTTCGTCGAAATTGCATTTTTCTTTAATATTTTCCTCCCCTGAGGTCTGTAATAAAAATGTTCATTAGCATAAAAAGTAATTCAGGTGCTCACATGTTGAATTCCTATATTTTGGAACCATGTATTTCTTTCTCATATCAAGAAAAGGAAACCTAAAAAAATAACAATAAACTTTACAAAGATGTGATATTAAAATAATAATAATTAATTAACCTTTACTATAATCATTATGAGACGGATGAAGACGAACTTAGCTGGAGTTTACTTGCTCTTAATTTTAATTTTTCGATAAGAAAATAAGAAAGTTTAATTGCAAATTAAAGGTGATTGCCTAATACACCGCCTCTGATAATTAGGTTGTGTCTGTACTTACTTATGATATTATCTTGAAGAAGCATTTTCAACAGGCCTTTTACACATAAAGCATGTTTTCACCATATTATTAGAGATAATAAATCTTAAATATACATTTACAACCCTTACAACGTTATAAATAATAATATTTTCCGTAAAATACAAATAAGAAATTGACATGTGTCAGAAAGTGTCAGAACTGGCGCTGTCAAACTTGGCAACGCTGATTAAATAAGCCAATTACAGAAGAGGTATTTTCCCCCTCGGGGGAGTAGACTCCCTCTAGTAGTAATTGCTCGGAGGTTGAATCCACATCGACACTTTGATATCATTTGACATTTTAAATAGACACACTCGCACACTTCAAAATCTGAATTTATTCCACTCCTCATGCCTTTCGGTTTGGGAACAAATAAAACGACCCCAATGGTGTTGGGTTAATTCTTAGTACTTAAGGATTAAATAAATATTTTATTATTGGTTATCATCATTTACTTTTGTCCTATTTTCTTAGATTTATACTTCTTATATGCAAAACAACACAAATTAAGATCTTTTAAATTTACTTTACTGGCTAAACTAAATATTAAAATGTTTTGGTTAAATTGTATAGGAATTGTTTGTAAAATTTTTACAGATATGTTAAACATTCAAAAATAGTTAAAAATATGAAAAATTCGGAAAAATTTCATAAATGTCTCACTCTACTTATCACCAATCGAAGGAGCAGGAAAAATTATGTAGGAGTAACCCATAACTTGAAAATGAGAAAAAGGTGGACTTAATACTGTTTGACTCTGAGGTCCAGTTATATATAGCTACTTTTGGTCAAAGAATAAAAGCAGGTATTTCAGGTATGTTTTGAATACTGTTTAAAAATCTATTTTAAAAACGTTTTTTCGCAGAGAGAATTTAAAATATGAAGTTTTTTACCTATAGTCATTTAAATTATGCATATATTGTTTTCAGATTTTGAATTAAAATGTGAATTAATCTAATAATTTATAAATAGATATAGAGCTACTTTATTCTTTAGCCAAAATCATATTTTTCGGTTTCATTCAATTTTAAAAATCTTTTATTCTAGGTAAGACACACTTACTTTTATGTCATAAAACTTTTCATTAAATAAAAAAATATAACAAATAGTACTTAGATTAATTTGCAAAATTAAAAAAAAAATGTATGAAACACTAATTTAAAACGATCAATCAAACTTTTAAATTCTTGCTATAGTTTTTTGAGTATTTGGCATCGTTGATGTTATTACAAAAACTCAATGTTTTTATACTTTTACATCAACGATTTTGTTTGGGATCATTCCCTTTCTCTCTAACAATAAAGACATTTGATTCACGCTATTTATGTCCTTTGAAATCATTTATTGAGAGTTAGCTCTACAATAATTAATTTCTGATGTAAATTGGTGGATCAAATGGACAAGGCTGCAGCTAATACTGCCTGGTGATATCTCATATAATTATATTAAACCTACTTGAATCAAACAAAGATACAAACTTAAAATTCTTGTTTTTTTTGTAATATGACATTAAAATGTTTGATTTTGGTATGTTAATAAATTGTAGAGTATCTAGGGGCTATATTAGAGATAGGGAATGATAGAGTGAATGTTGATGTTGGAATGAAATGACGTCGCCGGGCACAGAAGATTTCCTGAGTGTAAGAAAATGTCGGGATATAGATCGAATAATGGGTAAAATGTAAAGTGAAATGGACCAGCCATTAACGGGATGAAACGAAAGAAACATGGTTTTTACTTTTACAAGGTGAGTCTTTTTTTCAATAATGTATAAATTATACTTTGGTTTTCTACTCCATTTAAAAAATGATGGTGTCGACTTTTTTTTAAATATTTATTTTGTAAGATGTTCTTGTTCTAGTAGAAAACATAGTTAAACATATTTTTTTTTAGAGTTTTCTGGATTTCTGCTTTAAGTTATCGTAGTATTAAATTGACTATATAATGGTTTAATTAAAAGTATAATATATCTTTTTTATTTTATATATTTTCTCAATATCTAGTGTATCAAGATTAGATGTTCATAGTACTTTTCATGGATACTTTTTTTAGCAATTACTTTATTAAGTTGTGTTAACATAACAGGTAGGTTAACTAGGTAAATAACAAATAGTAGTTTTGCGAGGTTTTGATTTCCCTCAACAACTTCCCATGAAAGTTGCATTTACGTTATATAGTAATGTTATTACGTTCTCTTAAAGCAACATCGCCGAAAGACTTGGCAACGTTATATGCTAGCTGTGAATGTAATAAAAGTAATACAGTGTAATCTTGCATTCAAAAGCTATAATGATGTTTTAGAAAAATTTTAGAAACGTTTTTACAACGTTTTAGAATATTTATGAAACAAAACTAGCATACATTTTTGAAATATTACTGTTTTATATTTTTGAAAGGTTTCAAATTATTATTTCTGAAATATTAATATAAAATATTATATTTATAGGACATTTTTACGTTTCAGGGACATTTTAGTAATGTTTCTGAGACGTTTCGTAATATTTATGCAACATTAGGTATATGTTTTTCAATTTTACCTTTATGAAATATTTCTGAAATGTTTTTGTGCTGTATTGGGTCTAAATATTTTTACATGGACATACTTAAATGGTAAAAGGCGTAAATATTTTTACATGACCAAGTTTAAGGGGCAAAAGTCCTAACTGTTTGCACATAAATTGTTCGAACAATTTGTAAACCCTTCTAATAAAAATCCGGGATAAGTTGGTTTTTAAAAACCATTGCTATGAGATGCAAGTAATGTCAATGCTTAATTCAACATCTTCCAATCGTCTTTTGTTCAAAATCAAATTGTTTCTAGTTTATTTATTGCTACGAGTTTGTCTGTGGGAGCCTCGCCCAATTTAGCACTTCTAGAATTTGTTAAAAAAGAGTTTTGGTGTTTAATTAAAATAAAAACGTAACAAACATATACAAGTTTTATTAAAATAATATTTTATTAGGCAGGTATTTTTTTCAATTATTTTTCCCGCCACCTCGAAAAATAAAATCTTCAGTAGTTGGCCAGCGCACTACATTTTTTTTTAATGAAATAGTTCTAAAAAGAGAAAAATAAAATATCGTCCTTGTAGTAAGTCGGCCAAAATATTTAGCATCATAACATGACACAAATATGTACATTTTTGTAAGATATACAGAGTGTTTCATAAGTAGTCTTTTTTTTAATAAGTGAGGGAAATAAAAATCCTATTATTTCCTTCTTTTGCTTTTTAGAAAATTAGAAATAGGTACGTGCTAGCTTCTTTCAGAGAAACTGCTCGAAAGGGCCTCCATTATATTACGGTTTGTACAAAGATTGGTTCAAGATAACCATGAGTCATTACCATGCACTTTAAATTGTTTTGTGCCTCTTCTTCCTGATTTAACATTCGCCATATTATCCGATTGAGTGGCTGACTGGAGCTTGTTTAAAAATGTTTCAGGTATTTATCGTTAGATCGTTTTTCAAGTTAATCTTTAATAATTTCTCCAGGGTCTAGCCCTTTGAGCGAGTTCTCACAAAAATATACAAGGTTTATGATGACCTATCAGAGGAAAATCTTCAAAATACAACGTGCATGAAACAGCTGAATTTCCAAGATACTACCTATACACTAATAATATACGGTATCAGCCATCTAAAAACTTTCCAACACCTCCTTGGCATAAGTGCGAGTGAAAACTACAGAGAACCAGCACTATAGTCTATTTTTATGTATGAGAGAGTAATAAAACAGCATTTCTAATGCAAAACTTAGTACGGTCATTTTAAATATTTTTACAGAATAATCTAAATATTTCCTAAAATTGTAATAAATGTACCTGAGCTATTACAAGTCTTTTATTGGTCCTTTATGAACATAAGCTGTATAGAACAATAGAAAAAGGTTTGGACAGACCAAAAGCCCTGTGTATTAAAGATTACATAGCCGTATCTTAAGATTATTTTCAATAAGTACCTATTTGCCAATTTTGTTTTATTTTAATTCCAAGAATTTCTTACAGTAATGGAATTATAAATAGATAAATACCTTCCCAACAAATTTCACCGAAAATGCGATTATAGGTTTTCCATTTAGTAAGGAGGTCCAAGTTGTGTATTCTTGACAGTTTACTAAATGTCGTTTAGTTGCAACTTGCAAGGTGCAGTGTGAGTTCTAGTGTGATCATGGAAAATTTGGAAGGGCCGCGTAAACGACAAAAAATCGGTCCTTTAACAGTTAATGAAAAAACATTAATATTTAATTGTTTTAAATCATTTACAGACAAACATTTATGTAAAAGTGTTGATGACACAGTGGAATTAGTTAGTAGTACGCTTGGTGTTGGGAAATCTACGATTTACAGAGTTGTTAAAGAAGAGAAATGTGGCGAGTTTCAAACAGCACGTAAAGCTCCAGGAAAACCAAAATTTCAATTAGAAAATCTTTTGAAAGAAAGACTTCGAAGGAAAGTGCATGCGTTCTTCTTTAGAAAAGAATTTCCGACAGTAGACAAAGTTCTTGCCACGTTTCGAGATGATAAGGATTACCCTATGGAAACTTTTAAAAGAAATAGGTTTTCTATGGAAAAAGCATTCCAGAAAGTCTATTTTAATAGAAAGAAGCGATATTGTAGTATGGAAAAGAAATTACCTAAGGACTATAAAAGAAATGAGAAACCAAAGAAGAAATATATTTTATTTAGATGAAACATGGATCAACGAGGGACATAAACCAAATAAATTTTGGCAAGATGAAACTGTTACAAGTCGAAGACAGGCTTTTTTTAAATAATTTATCTACTGGTTTAAATCCACCATCAGGAAAGGGGCGCAGACTAATAATAGTACACATCGGTAGTTCAAACGGTTTTGTTAAAGGTGGTTTATTGACTTTTGAATCTACTCGTACCAGTGACTACCATGAGGAAATGAATGCTGATGTCTTTAAAGAGTGGTTCGAACAAATTATAGATCTTCTTCCTCAGAACTGTATAATAGTAATGGGTAATTCAAGTTATCACTCGAGACTTATAGAAAAAATGCCCACAACCAAGTGGTTAAAAAAAGATTTACAGAATTGGCTAAATTCAAAGGATATTAAGTTCCATCCCGGTTCTGTGAGAAAAGAACTGTATCATTTGTGTTCCCTTCATAAAGAGAAATTCAAAAAATATGAAATTGATGAAATTGCAAAAAATCCTGGGATGACGGTGGTTAGATCACCACAATATCATTGCGAAGTAAACCCGATTGAACTGATATGGGCACATATAAAGGGAGAAGTTTCAAGAAAAAATAATTCTTTTAAAATGAGTGATGTTAAACAGTTGTTTTTGGAGGCTGTAAATAATGTAAAGCCTGAAAACTGGGAAAAGGCAGTAAATCATACGATTAAAGAAGAAGAGAAAATGTGGAAGTTGGACAATATTACTGATGAAATGATCGAGCCACTCATTGTAAATATTGGTTTATCTTCTGATTTCGATTCTGATTTGGATTTGTAGGTAAGAAGTAGTTTTTATATTAAAATTATTATTTATGAACGTAACGTTGTTTAAAAGTCAAAGTTTAAACCCTTATACCTACATAACCCGTTTTACACAATGTTCTTAACATACCTTGTGGAAAAATAAAACATTTTAGAAAAAAATTGCACTTTTTTACCTTCAGCTGTTTAGAAGTTATAAGCAGGTTAATTAGGTGAAAATATGTGTATACTCGAGGAATAACTTCAAAAAATATTTTAACCATAACTATTCTGCCTACACTTTCAAAGGTTTTGGAGAGAGTTGTAGAGGAACAACTTCGAGAACACATTGATAAATATAAAATTCTACCACTCACACAATCGGGATTTAGATCGGGATATAGCTGTGGTACGGCCCTATTAAATATTACGGATGACTTTCTGAAGGAATCCGACGCCAAAAATGTTGGTTTATTAATTCTGCTTGATTATAGTAAAGCATTCGACATGATTAATCACAAATTGTTTTTATCCATTTTGCATTTTATTGGCTTAGGACCAACCGCAATAACATTTCTTAGAAACTATCTGTCGGGAAGAACACAGAAAGTATTATATAATGGTGTATCGTCTAGCGTAGAGCAAGTTGGGCGAGGAGTAGCCCAAGGTTCAATCCTAGGCCCTCTTTTTTATACAATATATACAAACAATTTGTGTTCGGTTTTACAATATTGCAAAGCTCATATGTATGCTGACGATACGCAGTTATATATGTTTTTTAACAAAAACGATGAATCAGAGTGCATTCAGAAAATAAATACCGATCTAAATGCCTTGGTGAAAGTATCTACCCAACATAATTTGGTGATTAATTCAGAAAAATCAGCTGTTATGTTTTTTGGAGCTGCTTCTTCTAACGTGTCTATAAAAATTAATGATGTGGCTCTACCAACTGTTCAAAAAGCAAAAAATTTGGGGATAATACTAGACAATCGACTGAAATTCACAGATCATGTTTCTTATGTTCTACAAAGATCCTTTTTTAAACTAAAAACTTTATATCATAGCAGACATTTATTTGACAAAAAACTAAAGATACAACTCTGTGACTCTCTCGTTCTAAGTAATGCAAATTATTGTGATTTTGTATATGGACCTTGTCTTTCAGTAACAGATTCAAATAGGTTACAAAAACTACAAAATGCCTGCCTTCGACTTATATATGGAATTAAAAAATTTGATAGAATTTCCCATACACTAGCAAATGCCAGATGGTTAAATATGATAAATAGAAGAAAACTTCATTCATTAACCCTGTTTCACAAAATTTTAATTAAAAAAAGTCCTCCATATCTTTGGAATAAAATTATTTATCGTTCTGATGTTCATAGTAGAAATACACGAAAAAAAAATTCTATTGAGATTCCAAAACACCAAACACAACAATTTAAAAACTCGTTTTCATACCAGATAGCAAAGGAGTATAATAATATTCCTGTTTCCCTAATTAATTTATCCATAGCATCATTTAAAACAAAAATGTTTAAAATATTATATGATGACCAATTCACAAATTTGTAAGTTTGTAATTTGATTTTGTTTGGTTTATATAAATTACTAGGATCCATCGGCACCGCTCGTCATTATTATCTTTCCTTAAAAAATAAAAGTCTTTTGTTTCTTGATGACCAGCGATGCAAACGGCCCATAGTACTTTTTTGTTTGTTTTAGTTCTGTTTATTATATACATGTGTTACACCCTATTAGATTAGTTTAGATTACATTTGCAGGCCTTTGAGGAAGAACAGCTTGAGCTGATCTTAGGACCTTTTGACCATGTTTATTTCTGGTACTTTAATTTTTTTTTTAATTGTATTTTATTTTTTTTCAAATATTGTATTTTAAATGGTCAATAAAAATATTATTATTATTATTATTATTATTAACTGTCTACTAAAAGAAGTGATACGCCTATGGATTACGAACGCTTTATTATTTTAATACTCTTTCATACATACAAATAGACTATAGAGGAAGTAGGAAAGGAACAAAACATAACAACGCGGTCAAGTCGTATAAATGGCAATGCTGACATGATTTGTTTCACACTCGCTCCAATGCCAACTCTCTGTAGGTTTCACACGCACTTGGGCATTGCGTATTGGAAGATGATGAGTGGCCGACAATGTATATCTAATAATTCGTTTTATCATAAACGTGAACTATATTCAAAAATTAAGTATTTTCTTTAATAAACGAAACAGAAGTCAGTACCTACTTCCTAAACCTTTTAATAGTGAGCCATTTCTCTTTATTTTTCGAGTTTTTCAAAAAAGTTACTTGAAATATTTGTATATTTCATGGAAGTTATTAAAAAATTATAATACTTATGAAACAACCTGTATATTTTCAATTATAGACATACAGGAGTAGGTATATGTAAAAAAATATTCTGTTCGAAAATTTCTTTAAAATGATATAAATTATTTAAAAAATGTAAACAATTATAAATATAAATAGCCATTATTAAACTAAAATGCATTTTTCTTTCCCTGAAAAACAATTGTGGTCTATTAATTATATAAAGAAACGATATGTGCTGATCAAATATTTGCCATATAAACCACAATTTACGTACCTAGTAATATACCTATTCAAAGAAAGAAAAACATATTAAATAATATTGAAAACAAAAAAGAAGATAAACAAAGTTTAAGGATTCTATAACAATTTTCTAACAAAATTTATGCGTTTTCAAAAACATAAAATCACAAGATTTGTTCAGTAAATATTTCTAATAATGATTCACATTATAGGTACCTATATATACCTATCTACGTTCTTTTTTACAAAAAGAATACAACATAGAATTTATAAGTATTATAAATGAAATTCCAAAAACGGAAAACAGTCTTTTTGTTCAAATTCTTGGAATCGTAGGTATAGCACTTGATTCTGGATTATTTTGAGCGGCATATTTTGGTCTACAAACACAACCACTTTCCACTAAAACATAGTCTTGTCCTGTTAGAGTAACTGGTCCTAAAGGAATCACTAAGAATAAATACGGGACGTACGTTTGTGTGCATTCTCCACGTACCACATCACATTCTGAACTTTCGCATACCTAAAAAAGAAAAGGTTTAAAGTATAAAAAAATATACAGGGTGTCCCAATAGTGTGTGGAAGTTCGATAGAAAATATCAAACAATGTTATTTAAAAAAGTTATAGATAATATTAATATACACATTTCAAAATTATTTTCGATTATACAGAGTGATCCATAAATGGCCCACCCTGTATTTAATTGTCAATTTGAATTCCCCTGACTTTGCCCTTTAAGAAAATACCAACATGTATGAGGTTATACTGAGTATTTTGGAAATTTAAACCAATTTTATATGAAAATCGTATTAGGTTCAACCCTCTGTATATTTCAAAAGAAACAATCCAATATCAAAATTTTTTGATGAGTAATTTTTAATTATAGTCTACTTTTATAAGAATTTACTAATTTTTTCCTAGCACAACAGACGTGTACAGGGTGAGTCAAAACTCAGATACATGATTATCTCAATTTTTTTAAATATAACACCCTGTATTTCATATCACTACTAAAAAGTACTCTAATTATACGTTCGTTTGAGTTAAATATTCCGTATCCTTAAACACACCTTACATAAAAAAGAGAAGAATAACACGTGGTAAGTTTATATACTCTCCATCATGCTATCTGCTATGTAACTTTACAATTTTAGGCCTGATGATGGCTCATAGAGGCCGAAACTAGTAGCCAATTAAAAATAAAATTCTGTAGTAAATGACTTAGTTGTCTTTCCTTATAAAAGGATCGTCACATTAGTAAAAATGAATAATTTACTCTAATTATTACAACTGCCTGTTACTGATATACAGTATGTTAACTAATGGATCCTTAGAAATAAAGATGATACGCCTAATTATATTTGCACGTGGGGAAAAATAAAGAGAGACTATCCTGAATCGGTTGCCTGTCTGCTCCGATTGGGAGGATGGATATACTCTACCACTAGTTCTACGTCTGTCTAATCAATAGCATTGCTTAGTGAAATCATCACTATAATCAAAAAAAGTACTTCTAAACCCACTGAAGGTATTGACGAAATAAATGGTAAAATTCTGTTATCGGTTGCTCATTGTATTGCTGAACCCATATCATATGTAATTAATGAATCCTTTGTTTCGGGATTATTCCCAAATATGAAGGAATCTAAAGGAATTCCTATTTATAAAAATAAGGAATCTGCATCTAATATAGAAAAGTATCGTTTAATCTGTATATCTAGTCAAATAACTAAAATATTTAAGTCATCATACTTTATTAGACTCACTAATTATCTTGAAAGTTTTAATATGTTGCCAGATACTCAAAATGGATTTAGAAAAAATAAGTTAACATCTACTGCAATTGCAGCTTGCCTAGAGTTTATATATCAAGCACTCAAAGATAAAAAACATATTTTGGGACTCTTCTATGACCTTAGCCGTGTATTTGATATGGTGAATCATAATCTTTTATTATTGAAGATGAATGGGTTAGGAATACGAGGGAAACCTTATGAATGGATACAGTCTTAATAAATCGAACTCAAGTAATTGTAACAAATAGTCTAAAATCTGATCCTCTTCCATGTACAATAGGAATTCCCCAAGGTTCAATTTTGGGCCCACTTCTTTTTATAGTTTTTATAAGTGATATAAGTAATTTTTCAAATAAATAAATTGGTTCTTTTAAGTAAACTTACTTCAAACACTACTTGTTGAAGGAGATCAGGAAACTTTTGAACAATAGTGACCGGTTGGCCGGATGTAAGAGAAACACCATACATAGGAGCTGTGGTGTTATATCTTGTTTTACATAGCCTGGGAGGTGTAGAAGCGCACATATTCGATGGTGACATTGTAGCTGCTCTTGCTGAAAAGAAAAACAGATTCATATTTTACATCTAATAAAAATGTAATCTATTTAAAACAATATACAGTATGTCCCCTTAAGTTGGAATCATATGGAAAACTTTTTTAATATTAATTTTAGGAAAAAAAGTTGTTTTTCATAAAAAGTTTTGCATTATCTAAAACCTAGAATACAGTCATCAAATATCAAATTTTTTCAGTGGTATACGAGGTTTGTCAAAAAATATGAGTTTTACTCAATAGTTAAGTACCTTTATTCTGTATAAGATTGATAAAATTTGATATTTGATGGTTGTGTTTTAGGTTTTAGACCATGCTCGACTTTTTTTTCTAAAATTAGTAATAAAAAAGCTTTCCTATGCCACCAACTGTCTACGTAAATTAGCTTTTTTCGTTCCCGACTTATAAGCTAATGAAATGTCATATTTTATAAACGGACACCCTGTATTTAGGTCAAAGCTTGATGTAGGTTAGTTACGAATTTGAGTATAAAATCGTGAGAGTTTTTTTTGCACTGTAATTTCTACCGTAGGAAAATGTCGTGAGCAAATGATAACTGTTTCAGTTAAGTACAGATATAGAAATTAATTTTCGATTTGAATTAAAGATTATAGGCCTTATGACCGATTTCTTATTCAGGTTCGTATCGTTTAACCGTTAACGGTAAACTATATGTCTAATATCGCCAATTTAAACAAATTTTCTTATTTACAAGGTATTTAACTGTAGGCGTGGGACAAACAGGTACTCTAATCTATTTTTATGTATGAGAGATTAATAAAACGGCATTTATAATGCAAAACTTAGTACGGTCATTTTAAATATTTTTACAGAACAAGCTAAATATTTCCTAAAATTGTAATAAATGTACCTGAGCTATTACAAGTTTTGGGTCTTTTATTGGTCCTTTATAAACATAAGCTGTACAGAACAATAGAAAAAGGTTTGGACAGGCCAAAAGCCCTGTGTATTAAAGATTACATAGCCGTATCTTAAGATTATTTTCAATAAGTACCTATTTGCCAATTTTGTTTTATTTTAATTCCAAGAATTTCTTACAGTAATTGAATAAAAGTAGATAAATATCTTCCCAACAAATTTCACCGAAAATGCGATCATAGGTTTTCCATTTAGTAAGGAGGTCCAAATTGTGTATTCTTGACAGTTTACTAAATGTCGTTTAGTTGCAACTTGCAAGGTGCAGTGTGAATTCTAGTGTGATCATGGAAAATTTGGAAGGGCCGTGTAAACGACAAAAAATCGGTCCTTTAACAGTTAATGAAAAAACATTAATATTTAATTGTTTTAAAACATTTACAGACAAACATTTATGTAAAAGTGTTGATGACACAATGGAATTAGTTAGTAGTACGCTTGGTGTTGGGAAATCTATGATTTACAGAGTTGTTAAAGAAGAGAAATGTGACGAGTTTCAAACAATACGTAAAGCTCCAGGAAAACCAAAATTTCAATTAGAAAATCTTTTGAAAGACTTCGAAGGAAAGTGCATGCGTTCTTCTTTAGAAAAGAATTTCAGACAGTAGACAAAGTTCTTGCCACGGTTCGAGATGATAAGGATTACCCTGAAATGAGTCGAAGCACACTATGGAAACTTTTAAAAGAAATAGGTTTTCTATGGAAAAAGCATTCCAGAAAGTCTATTTTAATAGAAAGAAGCGATATTGTAGTATGGAGAAGAAATTACCTAAGGACTATAAAAGAATGAGAAACCAAAGCAGAAATATATTTTATTTAGATAAAACATGGATAAACGAGGGACATAAACCAAATAAATTTTGGCAAGATGAAACTGTTACAAGTCGAAGACAGGCTTTTTTAAATAATTTATCTACTGGTTTAAATCCACCATCAGGAAAGGGGCGCAGACTAATAATAGTACACATCGCTAGTTCAAACGGTTTTGTTAAAGGTGGTTTATTGACTTTTGAATCTACTCGTACCAGTGACTACCATGAGTACATGAATGCTGATGTCTTTAAAGAGTGGTTCGAACAAATTATAGATCTTCTTCCTCAGAACTGTATAATAGTAATGGATAATTCAAGTTATCACTCGAGACTTATAGAAAAAATGCCCACAACGAAGTGGTTAAAAAAAGATTTACAGAATTTGCTAAATTCAAAGAATATTAAGTTCCATCCCGGTTCTGTGAGAAAAGAACTGTATCATTTGTGTTCCCTTCATAAAGAGAAATTTAAAAAATATGAAATTGATGAAATTGCAAAAAATCGTGGGATGACGGTGGTTAGATCACCACCATATCATTGCGAAGTAAACCCGATTTAACTGATATGGGCACAGATAAAGGGAGAAGTTTCAAGAAAAAATCTGATGTGTCCAACACATGACTTTCCTACCTAGTTATTACAGGCTTTTTCCGTTTATTGTGTACAACCTATTGCAGCATCTTACTGATGAAATGATCGAGCCACTCATTGTAAATATTGGTTGTGACAGTTCATCTTCTGATTTCGATTCTGATTTGGGTTTGTAGGTAAGAAGTAGTTTTTATATTAAAATTATTATTTATGAACGTAACGTTGTTTAAAAGTCAAAGTTTAAACCCTTATACCTACATAACCCGTTTGACACAATGTTCTTAACATACCTTGTGGAAAAATAAAACATTTTAGAAAAAATTGCACTTTTTTACCTTCAGCTGTTTAGAAGTTATAAGCAGGTTAATTAGGTGAAAATATAAGCGTATACTCGAGGAATAACTTCAAAAAATATTTTAACTGTCTACTAAAAGAAGTGTTACGCCTATGGATTACGAACGATTTATTATTTTAATACTCTCTCATACATAAAAATAGACTATAGTTTCTGTCTATTCTGCTTTTTCACTTGTTTTATAATAAATTTCGGTTATTTTAAACCTATTTATTACTTAAAACTTCAAATTTAAACGTTTGTTTTTCGGCATTTAACCAGTTTTTGAGATTTTTCGAAATAGAAAACATTTTTGGACTAGTTTTGGTTTATTTAGCTTTTTCATCTATTTATAATGACTTTCTGTTATTTGAAACCTATTTAGCGTCATTACATAAAACTTGAAATTCAAAACGTTTGTTTTCATTATTAATGTCCAACTATACAAATTGCAAATTGAGCAAATACAATAAAATACAGATCTGGCATATCAAAACTTATTTCAAAAAGTTGAAAAAATTTATTTTTAATAATTTTTTTATGGCAAAATACGAAAAAATATTTTTGTAGGTACTTTTTAAATTCGCTATTTTGCACTATTATCAGTACGTTCACATAGTCTTAGAAATGTTTTACAGGTCCGTATTTTTAAATATCTTGCATAGTGAAAAATAAGCATGTTTCTCTAAAAAATTTTTATTTTCGAGACTGATAGTCCTTCAAACTTTCACACTTAATACCTTTACTTATTATTTAAATAAAATCGACTTAAAGGAGAACCTATTTTAGGGTGACCATACGTATAGTCTGTCCAGCATTTGATATTGTACAGCAAACGTACTGAAAAATGCTGCTTTCCAACCTTTTGCAGATATCTTGTAAAAAAACCACACCATGTATTAAACAAATAAATATCTAGTAACTTTTAGAAGGTAATACGTAATAATTTTTCTATAAAATATAACTGACCTTGTCTAGACAACGTAAGAGATTCCTCCGTTTGTTGATGTGCAATGAGTAGCATATTTCTTGTAATAAACGGATCTATCGTTTTTTGGGCTCTTCCTGTTCTAAAACTACCAGACCACAGCTTTGATCCTTTGAAACTCCTATCTATGGCACCTCTAAAAACATTAAAATACATTTTATTAGTTTAATAGAAAAGTATGATGTGATTCAGTAGAGATTTTGAAGAATTAGATAATTATGGGTATAATAATTGAAGACAAGTGGATGAAGGGCCTATGTAACATTTTTTTTTAATAGTGTTTTTCTGTAAATAAAGTGTTTATGTACATAAAATTCGTTTAAAATATCTTCTGTGACAATATATCATCAAATATAGAAGTTGTCAGTGGATAAAAGACCTATGTACTAGGAAATAACTGCCAAACAATAAACTTTAACACGAAATATCTCGTAAAAATTATTTTGTTACATAGGCCCTTCATATACTTGTGTCTTCAATTGCAGTGTGCATTTTATAACAAGTTTTCAACAATACAATAAGTCTGGAGTCACTATTAGAGTTTGAAAACTATAGTTTGTTAATACTTTTTCGCTTCATATTCTTTAATTAATCACCTGTTAAAATTATGCGGATTAATTCCCCTATTTAACCTCATAATATGTTTAGGACAAATCATAGTGATATCGTCAAATCTATATCCAGCAAATAAAATCTGAATTCTTCATTTCGAGTTCTTGATATACACCAAAAAATGGTACTTACGTTGGATATGGCATATTACCAGGACCCACACAATCAGGAGAATCTAATAGGGCATCTCCCCATAAATATTTTAATCCTACGCTTCCTTCGCATTTTGTGGGTATTTTTGATAGGGCAGAATTTATTGTGGAACAAATTATCGTCGTTATCTGAAAAAAAAAAAAAAAAAATATTTTAAATATGTGTGCTCTTTCCACCACCAATATGATACAGAGTCATGTTCTATTGTAGGTGTCTCATGGTTTGTTTCTACTCAAGAGATTATAATTAGGTAAGGGACATTCATTTTTATTAAGCTACAAATAATTAAAATACATGTTTTACTAATTGTTTCGTAAGACTAAATTATGTCCTGTTAGTTTCTATACAATTTATTGCACACAAACCTTAATAAAATTATTACAAACACTAATAATACCTACCTACTTATTTGATTGGTGTTCTAGTTTACCTACTATTTATTTTCAGAATGAGAAATTGTGTTGAATTAGTTTCAATGAAACTGGCATATGCCAGAGAAATTGTTTGTTAACAATTATAATTATTAGTAGTAATTATTAACACAAGAACTTTCTTTAATACACCAATTGCAAACTGAATGCATAAAGAAATTAATAAAACCTAGATTATAGGATGATAACAAGAGTATGATGAGATGAGAAAGTTTACTTATTCTGTCTGTTTTTACATGAGTAAACATGAATGTGATATGACATTATTCCAATATAAGAAGAAACTAGAGGTTATCATGCTGCAGAAAGATAAATCTGTTAACATTTGAGGAGTCAAGAGAAATAGTGTTTATAAAGGTAGAGATAAAATCACACAAACAATTAGAAGATAACCAAGAAGTCGACAAGAAGACTGAAATACAGAAAGCTTTAAAGATAATACATTATATGTTTTTTGTGAAGAAAATTACTTTTTCAGCAACCAGTATCCAAAATCACATATCCGCCATATTAAAAGTTAAAAAATTAATAAAAATAATAATTTTAGTGGTTTTAGAAAAATAATAATTATTTGTAATGCGACTTCAAAATACTTGTGTTTCATCGATATATCTTAATTGGTTCGGACGGTATAAGTCCTCAAAATGTGAAAAATTTTAATGAGACAGCCGGTATAAAATAAAATTAAAAAGCAAAGAGTGCATATACAGTGTGTCCGAACTTCCTACATTGGTATCTCGATTAATATAATAGTTCAGTTAAATAGGGAAAGTTTTAAGGAATTTTTTAAAGAAAGTGTTAGAAGTTTTAGAGAATGTATTAGGGAATGTTCTAGGAAATGTTTTAGAGGATATTTTAGATGTTTTAGAGAATGTTTAGAGAATGTTTAGAGAATGTTTAGAGAATGTTTAGAGAATGTTTAGAGAATGTTTAGAGAATGTTTAGAGAATGTTTAGAGAATGTTTAGAGAATGTTTAGAGAATGTTTAGAGAATGTTTAGAGAATGTTTAGAGAATGTTTAGAGAATGTTTAGAGAATGTTTAGAGAATGTTTAGAGAATGTTTAGAGAATGTTTAGAGAATGTTTAGAGAATGTTTAGGATTGAGGGAATTTAGAAAATGAGACAATGCTTTGGAAAATGTTTTAGAGAATGTTTTAGAAAATTTTGTAAGAAAATGTTTTAGAAAATGTTTAGGATAATGTTTAAGAGAATGTTTTAAACATGTTTTAGGTAATGTTTTAAATATTTTAGAGAATAGATAATGTAAATAATGTTGTAAATAATGTTTTAGAGAATGTTTTAAAGACTGTTTTAGAGAATGCTTTAGATAATGCTTTAGAGAATATTTTAGAGAATATTTTAAATAATGTTTTAGAGAATGTTCAGAGAATGTTAAGAGAATTTTTTGGAGAATGTTTTTAGATAATGTTTTTAGAGAATGTTTTAGAGAATGTTTTAGAGAATGTTTCAGAGTATGTTTGAGAGAATGTTATAGATAATGTTTTAGAACATATGAAAGAAAGTGTATCAAGAAATGTTTTAGAGATTCTTTCTGAATGTTTTATACATTGTTTAATAGAATATTTTAAAATAATTCACAAAATGTTTCAGAAAAGGTTTAAGGAAATGTTTTAGAAAATGTTTTAGAAAATGTGTTAGAAAATGTTTTAGAAAATGTTTTAGAAAATGTTTTAGAAAATGTTTTAGATAATGTGTTAGAAAATGTTTTGAAAGTTATTTAGAAAATGTTTTGAACAATGTTTTAGAGAATGTTTTAAACATTTTTTAGGTAATATTTCTGGTATTTTAGAGAATAATGTTGTAATAATGTGTTAGATAATGTTTTAGATAATGTTTTAGATAATGTTTTAAATAATGTTTTAGATAATGTTTTGGATAATGTTTTAGATAATGTTTTAGATAATGTTTTAGGCAATGTTTTAGAGAATGTCCCAGATAACGTTTTAGAGACTGTCTTAGAGAATGTTTTAGAGAATATTTTAGAGAATATTTTAGAGAATGTTTTAGAGAATGCTTTAGATAATGCTTTAGATGTTTCAGATAATGTTTTAGAGAATGCTTAGAGACTGTTTAAGATAACGTTTTACAGAATCTTTTAGAAAATGTTTTAGATTGTTTTAGAGAATGTTTTAGAGAATGTTTTAGAGAAATTTTTTGGAATCATGTTTTAGATTATGTTTTAGAGAATGTTTTAGAGAATGTTTTAGAGAATGTTTTAGGGAATGTTTTAGAGAATGTTTTAGAGAATGTTTTAGAGAAAGTTTTAGAGAATGTTTTAGAGAATGTTTTAGAGAATGTTTTAAAAAATGCTTTAAAAATGTTTTAGAAAATGCTTCAGTACAATGTTTTAAAGAATATTTTAAACATTTTTAAGGTAATGTTTCTGGTATTTTAGAGAATAATGTTTTAGGGAATGTTTTAGAAAATGTTTTAGAGATATTTTAGAGAATGTTTTAAAAAATGCTTAGAGAATGTTTAAGAGAATGTTTTAGAGAATCTTTTAGATAATATTTTAGATTGTTTTAGAGAAACAGATAATTTTTAGAGAATGTTTTAGAAAATGTTTAAGAAAATGTTTTAGATAATGCTTAGAAAATGTTTAGGATAATGTTTTAAAGAAATTGTTTAGAGAATGTTTTAGATTATGTTTTGGAGAATGTTTTGGAAAATATTTTAAATAATGTTTTGGACAAGTAATTTTTTAGAAAATTTTTAAATTACGTTTTAGATAAAGATTAAAAATGTTTTAGATATTGTTTTAAAAATGTTTTATATAATGTTTTATGTTTTAGAGAATATATTAGAAAATGTTTTAGAAAACGGTTTAGAGTACGTTTTAGAAAATGTTCAGATAATTTTTTAGAACATATTGAAGACAGTGTATTAGGGAATATTTTATAGATTCTTTTATGTTTTATACATTGTTTTCTAGAATGTTTTATATAATGTTTTATTGAATGTTTTATAGAATTTTTTATATAGATTGTTTTATAGAATGTTTTATAGAATGTTTTATAGAATGTTTTATAGAATGTTTTATAGAATGTTTTATAGAATGTTTTATAGAATGTTTTATAGAATGTTTTATAGAATGTTTTATAGAATGTTTTATAGAATGTTTTATAGAATGTTTTATAGAATGTTTTATAGAATGTTTTATAGAATGTTTTATAGAATGTTTTATAGAATGTTTTATAGAATGTTTTATAGAATGTTTTATAGAATGTTTTATAGAATGTTTTATAGAATGTTTTATAGAATGTTTTATAGAATGTTTTATAGAATGTTTTATAGAATGTTTTATAGAATGTTTTATAGAATGTTTTATAGAATGTTTTATAGAATGTTTTATAGAATGTTTTATAGAATGTTTTATAGAATGTTTTATAGAATGTTTTATAGAATGTTTTATAGAATGTTTTATAGAATGTTTTATAGAATGTTTGTTTTATAGAATGTTTTAAGGAACGTTTTATAGAATCTTTCATATATTGTTTTATAGAATGTTTTATAAAATGTTTTATGGAATGTTTTATAGAATATTTTATTGATTGATTTGTAGAATATTTTATGGAATGGTTTAGATAATGTTTAACCTAATGCTTAACAAAATGTATTAGAAGAAGTGATGCTGATCTCAGATCCATTTTCAAAATTATTAAATAATATAGTTTTCAGTTATTTTAAAAAGCTGAAAATTGGCCATATTGGTTTTTTAATGGCAGCTTAACCGATATTGTGACTTATTTCAAGGAGTTACATTCCTAAACACTTTTTAATGGAGAATAATTTTTAGAAAAAAACATTTCCGGGTTGTCTCTTGGTTCCAGTCCCTGCATTGGTATCTCGTTTAATACAAGAGATAAGTGAGATAGGTTAATTAAAGAATGTTTGAGATAATGTTTTAAAGAAAGTTTTGGAAAATGTTTAAAATATTGCTTCAGAATATGTTTTAGATAATATTTTAGGTAATGTTGCAGATATTTTAGAATGTATTGTAAATGTTTTAGAGAATGCTATAGAAAATGTCTTACTGAATGTTTATTTTAGAGAATATTTTAAAGAATATTTTAGAAAATAATTTGGAGAATATTTTAGGGAATATTTAAGGGAATATTTTAGAAAATATGTTAGAGGATGTTTTAAAGAATTTTTTTGTGAATGTTTTAGAGAATGTCTTAAGAATGAGTTATGTATTTTTTAGAGAATATTTTAGAGAATGTTTTACAATACGTTTTAGAGAATGTTTTAGATAATGCTTTAAAAAACTCTTGATCAGCGACATTATCTAGACCTGGCTTTTTTTATTATTTTTTAAAGGTTAAAAATGTTGATATATTAATTTTTTTTAATTTTTAATGTTTAGTTAATTTTGATGCAATATTTACAAAAAAAATTTGCTATTTTTTCTGGATCATTAGTAATATCTCCATCTGGAATCTTTATTTGTGTAATATATTGTTTTGTTCCTTTTTTATTTGTCATTTCTTTGATACAGCTCCAAAGATTTAAATTTTTTGATTTTTTTCATTTTGTTTCGTACAATTATTTTTCATTAGTTTGCAATTTGATTACAATATTACGTCATTGCGTTCTAATATGTGCTGTCATTCGACAGTGATGACCCTTTGATTCTACCTGAAAAGGAAACTAGTAGTAAATTTAATGAGAAGTA